ACGCAAGCGCGAACGCGCAGACACGCGCAACGAAAGCACTGCGGAAGCCAGCGAGCTCGCGCTGAAAGCGAAGCTTCTTGTATCGGCTTAAGGGTGAACGGAGTATATAAAACACACTTTTGTGTACTGCGAGTGCTAACTCAATTTTACACTAAAATTAGGAGTTGCATGAAAAACAGAACCGAACAGAAACACTTCGTACAGTGGTGTAAATCACGAACACAGCAGGGATCTCATCTTCTTCGGTTAGGAGTAGCTGCTTCTTCAGCGAATAAAGAACATTTTGAGAAAAAATAAGAGTAGAAAATACTCTCCCTGTCAAGTTCTTAATCGCAGTCACTGGTTGTTGTTGTACCGTGGTGATTTCGGACCCTTCGAACCCACCAGCACTTTGTAGAGTCACATCTTCGGTCCCGACGCGCCGCACACGAATGAAGGTAAACAATCAAGATGGCAGAGTGTTCCCCGTGTTGGCCCCGCTTTCAACACGGTGTGACAGGATTTTCTCCGGCTGTCGGACAACAAATAGGCGAACACGGTTGCCGGGCGACAAAAAAATTGTGTTTCCCGACAGTTTCTGGTGCCTCATTGTGACAGGGTCGCCGAAAACATATTTCCTCGTGTTGATGGACAGAGTTGTCCAATTGATTCCTCAGTGTGAACACGATTTTATAGAGCACTTTGTCCGTCAACACGTGTAAAACATATGTTTTCACCGTTTTCATTAACCCAGTCCCATTAAAGCAAAAGCAACTGTTGGGAAACATACCTAGAAATCATCTTCGCCGCCTTATTCTCCGGCAGCCGAAAAACCCTCCCGTCACACCGCGTTGACGCGGCGAATATTGACAACACTCCGCCATCTTGTTTGTTAAATTCGTTCGTGTGCTGTGCGATATCACTGGAAATTTGCCTCTACAAAGTGCTAGAGCGTTCGAAGAGCCGAAACTTACCACGGGACGAGATCTATCAGTGATAGTGATTGGAAAATAATGTGACGTATTCGTCTAGTTTCTTTGAAGTGAACATCTTGGGAAGGAACAGCCGCAAAAAAACTTGGACACGGGTAAAGAAACACACCCGACACGACGGTGTCTATTTGGTCTGATTAAGATGCTTCTGTTTTCTTTCTTCCTTTTTTGTGTATTAAAAAACCAGTTGTTAACTCAGCGCCGTCCTGTCGTGTGTTTCTTTAACCTTCTCCAAGTTTTTTTGCCACTGTTCCTTCCCAAGATGTTCAAGTAATTGGAAAAATCAAGCTGAGAAGCATTTCTACGCTCTTTATTTTGTTGGGAGGCTCTTCACTCTAAAAAAAAAGCCCGTGCGGCTACTTTCCCGCACAACACTCGGAGAGCCAATCACCGCAACTTACTGAGGCAGCTCAGAAAATAACGATGCCGAAACATATGTTTAGACCAGAAAACGCCGTCTGAGTTGTGACATGAAGCAATGCAAAAAGTCACGCTTGCATTGCTTAATGTCACAACTCAGCCTACGTTTTTTGGTTTAAGCATATGTATCGGCCAGGACCAACTTGAATAGGGGGGAGACCTGGCTATCGCGCGCCCCTACTATGGGAGAGCTACTGGAGCTCTAGTTGAAGTTGCGGCTACGAGGTGGCGCGCAAAGACACCCCCCCCCCCCCCCCCCCCCCCCCCCCCCATCGTTTTGAATGGGGAAGGCTGCGCGATTCACGGTGCGGTACTGAAACCTGTGATTTTGTCTTACAGGCGTCATTCAGGAAATTATTTAACACTGGTGCCGCTTCTGTGCGCTAAAAATTCTTTTTATTTGATTCGCACAGTAATAAATAGCTGTATACTGCATTTTTTACACTAATTATAAAACAAATTCTATGCATGCTTCTCATAGAAGTCCTGCACCTTCAACACCTTTCGGGAAGTCGGTTTTTCTTTTATGACCTGCTTTGCCCGGTGCTCCTTCATCGTGTTTGATGCCATGTTCGTCAGAAACGGCCTCGTGAACTTTCTGACAACGAGAGTAACCAGGGTCGTTCTGTGATCTTGTGAGTCGTTGACTCCACAGGCCAATAGCGGGTTGCTCGCAACTGCCGGCAGAACCTTTTTTGTAAACGTCAGCAGTAGCTTCCTCAGTGCTAATAACCCCGTCTTGGCAAAATTGGATGCGCTCTCAAGCGTTCTCAGAAAGTTGACGAAGCGGGGGCTGGGATAGCACGGTACCCCACTGTCCAGGTTGTGTGCTATCGCAACGATTGCGCTGTTGTGTGGAGGGGACTTGAGCTGGTGCAAGCGCCTGTCGCAGACAATGTTGTCTTCAGCCGCCCCCACGAGGAAACCTCCGATAAGTGCCAGCGTGCTGGTTTGCAGTCCTGGAGCTGGGAAACCTATCAAAAAATTTGTTTTGCGTTTTTGGCTAGTTCTAACTTTTTATAAACGATAAAAATGTTCCTCACCTGAGAACGTCTGAAATTTCTTTAAGGGTTGCAAAATCTTCATATTTCGCGGCGAAGCAGCAGGCTGCAGTCCTGGCTTTTGCAGCAACGCACCGATATCGAACTCTGAGTCTTTAGTGACGCTTCCTTGCGTAATGCCCGTAAGAGCCTTCAAGGATAATAAGTGATGATGATGATGATGACAAGAATTTAGTGCAGAGAGGAGAGGGCGCCTTATTTATACGTTCGGTCGTTGGAGCCGCTCAGCTGCCTCACCGTAGAAAAGGGCGAATATACTCTGTCTGAAGTGAACTTGAACGTTAAAACGTACTTGAATCCTTGGTCCATCAAATGACGTGTGCACAATACAGTAGACAACGTTGTGACTGCCAGGGGTTCGTGAGTCTCGGACGTTACAAATACGCTGACCGACGGTGCGGTTCTCTTTCAGTTGTTCACATACTCGAGGAATGTGTTCTCGAGTCAAAATATCGAGAAATTCATCGGCTCCATTCGGCCCCTCCGAGGCAGCATTTCTCTCGTTCACCGGGCTCGCCGTCCGTAGCAGATAAAATTCTTGTGTCGCCATGTATAATTGTGTTACAAATACTCTGAAAAATTAGTTGCACGCAAAAAGAAAATAAATGCATACCTTCTTCGTTTATGCGACGGTCGTGCGGGTGTCACCGCGTTTTTTTTAGTCTGCTTTGAATTGTACTGCTTGTCGGTCGGATAAATCTCGAACACGGAACACCGTTGGCACCGCTGTGGTTTTCAGCTTTTTTTTATATTCACATTCTCCTTATAGTCATCTGCTATAAAATGCAGTGAGCATAGGACAGTGCCCCCGCTATTACTTGGGCGCCACAAAAATTCATTTCGCCTTAAAAAAAAACTGAAAGATGTTTTGATTGTTTTTTCTTCTTCGAATACAATATAAAACTATTATTCTTACTGCACGAAATGCCAGAGATAAACAAAAAATTGGCACTTACCGGCTCTCGAGATTCTTTTGATTTTTGATCCATTCTTCGCGGACACTCGATGATGGAAATTCGTAAAAGGAAAATCATTTGCCCTTTATGCTGTGCGAGATACACAGCTGCACACAAGAGTGTACCATTTACCCGCAGTTTGAGTCGACACTTCAATTTTCGTATCGTAACACACAGATTCCAGCGGCGTAGCCACCGAACTTCGGTGTTCCCCAAGGCTTCCCGGACTGAATCCGGTAGGGAAGGGTGGGGTAAGGTACCTCTATACTTTAGGGTGGGGGAGCTCCGAGCGCCACCACGAGCGTTCGTGAGGAGTGCGCGTACTTCTAAGCCGGCGTTGAGCCACAGTTCAGCAGACAAGTCTCCCCCTTATTTAAGTTGGTCCTGGTTTCGGCATCGTCATTCACTGGGCTGCCTCCGTTAGTTGCGGTGATTGGCTCTCCGAGTGTTGAACGGGAAAGTAGACGCACGGGCTTTTTTTTTTTTTTTTTAGATTGTTGCTTTTGGAGTACGTGGGCCTAACCGACGAAAATGAGATTCACAATTTATGCCAGCATATGGAGTGGTCCTGCATCTCATGCAGTCCCAATTTCTAGTGTAAAATAAATTAGCGGTAACTGTACCCCGAGCGTTTTCTGATGTGTGACGCTCAACTGAGCTCTCAGTGTTTAAAAACTGCGACTGACGGTTCGGTCGTCACAACGATCGGTGTAATACTATTTTTTCAAAACTGTATTTGCCTTTTCTGTCTGCTGTGTGATCACTTCGTTCGCTCAAACGTCCTGGAGTTTTAAAACAATTTTAGGTGTCCGGCAGCGCCTGTTTTTGAGCTCGAAACATCAACAACCATGAACGGCAGCGGTCGTTATCCCACTCCGTCTTTTCTATCGTACGAGTTCGTTCATGATTTTAACCTTGTATACAACATCCGAGTATAGCACGTTATTATTAATCATCTAGCTATGCTGACAATTGCGGTCAATTTTTATTTCAACGATGGTTTGAACGTTCAAGACTGTAGCTGTGACCTTTTCTATGCTTGCTTTTTGTAATTAGCTATTCACTTATCAAATAATATCAGCTGGACATCGGGCTTGCTTATTGTTAAATATAAGTTTTCGTGTCTTCGAGAAAATGGTTAGAACCACGTTACTCATCGAGCGTTTCACCATTGAAGCCGTCTATAGGCTGTGTTTTCGGCACAAAATTTGCTCCTCTACCGAACCGGGCGACGCGCGGTGTCCAACAACGCAATTTGCTACTGTTTCGGTTGCAGAAGGCTGTCACACCGAGGCAACATTGCCACTGTCGTCCGTGTTGTGCTGATGTTACAACACTATGACAGGATTGTCGGGCAACAGAGAGAACGACGAATAAGTTGACCGACTGTTGTCGAACATGTTGTGCTGATGTCGCGACCGTCCGTGTTTTCTCGATGTGATCGGGTCTTTTCAAACGACAATCCGGCCACTTCGATTGATATTTATTCGAACGTTTGTGGAAGCTAATAACCTTGATTCGTTTGAATAACAAGTTAGAGCACCTCATTGTGGGCCGTGGAAATTCCGTTATATTTGTGTGCCTTTTTTCAGCCTTCAAACATCCTGGTTTCATCGAAGGGAATCCTTTTCCTGTCTGATCTGATGCCGCAGGGAGTCCTAACAAACGTCCCACTTGGTTTTATCCAAACTCCAGTGGAAGGCAGAGGCAAAAACACAGGTTCGTCAGCATTTCTAGTTTTATCAATGCAAAAATAATGTGTTTACTTCTCAGCGTGCTTTACAGAGGGCAGTTACACTGCTTCATGCATGCCTTATATATAGACACTGAAAATCCTCTTAGTATAAAAAGAAATATGGATTGAAGACAGCAAGTAGCTTCCATACACCATTTTATTCCGATAGTATGTCTGGTATTGTGTAACTTTTATTGGTACTTCATGTGGTACTTAAAGTTTAGAGTGAGATTAGATTGCTGAGAAAATGACACCTTCCTAGAGTAGGAGTTCTGTACTGTGCGTTTTCCCGTAGTAAAGGTTCGTTTACACACTGGCAAACGAGTACGACTGACTGAGACAAAACCGGTACTTAAAGGGGCACTGACACCCCAAAGGTCGTATTTATTTTTATTGTCTAAAACGATGCAAGTTGCAGCCATAGACACGCAAAAAAAAACCGCATCGCGAAAAAAAATTTTCCCGCGCGCACGCGCGCCTTTTTATTTTTGGCGTTTGATTTTCCCGCCTCTCGCCTCCTCGCTTCTTTTGATCGGTGACGTCAAAAATCAGGAAATTTAGAAGCTTTGTAGGCGGCATCTTTATAACATTTAATGACGGCAATCCTAAAACATGTTTTTTAACGCAATTGCGAACGCACTACGGCCCTTCTTTTTGAAATACCAAAAATCGGGAGTTCGTTGTGGTGCCGTCTCCTGGATTTGTATCCTCCAACGGAAAACAGGCGACACCGCTCAAAACCGGTCCGCCGCAACGCCGGCGCTAGCCGGCGCTCGCTCCTATCCTCCTCGCTTTGGGTCGCCATGGCAACAGCAGGGAGTGGTGACAGGAAAGTGGACTCTCAGGTCTCTGCAATTTTTGACGTCAAGGCGCCGGCGCCGATCGCGCGGGAACTTCGAATTCGGCATTTGGAAATTGTTTTTTTACTTCACAAATACTGAATTCCCAAATTTCAAATTTTGAGGGTAATGCCCCGGCATCGTTTTCAACCGTTTCGGATAATAAAAAAAAATATGATTTTGATGTGTCAGTGCCCCTTTAAGCTTCTTGCAACGGCTTAGCACCGGATGCGCTGCTCCGGAGCTGGTCGCAAGCCGTCACTATACTCCGTTTCACCTTCAGTCCGAGCGCAGTGGACGCCACGAGCCATCCCAGCCGATCCAGCGCCGGGAGAAAGTCGCGTGACCTGCCGGTGGGGCGGGGCGACACAGGGAGCTCAAGGTCGCATGACACTCCCTCAACGCCGCATTGGCTGGGATGGCTCCTAGCGTCCGCTGTGCTCGGACGGAAGGTGAAACGGAGTATAGACGCCTCAAAACCGGTCTTGTCTCAGTCGGTTGTAGTCAAACGCAGGTGTGTGAACGGGCCTTAAGACAGACTTCACGCAACGGTATTCAATATTTCTTTCAGTCAGTGACGTCAGTTGGCGGCCACGAGAACTTATCAAGGCAGTGGCTAGTGAGCTGGCAGCGAAGGTGATGTCTACTGCCTCTGACATGCAGGTTGGTTCTATCGAGAAAATAAGAAAACACTAAAGATTTCCAGACTAGGGTGTAATTCTATACTCTTGCGTATCCCCCGGACAAGATAGAACTGTGGGCGCAGGAGCGGAATAGGATATACACCAGAAGAGCTGTTGCGTATAGGATATACACCAGAAGCGCTGCACCCGGAGCGGCCCGCTCCCCCCCCCCCCCCCCCCCCCCGCACCCCCCTTGTGGCGCCACTGCATAAAGGTCATCCTGGTGATATTCCACACCTTCTGGTGATAGTTAGGAAGTTACAGAGGGTTAGCAAATTGGCGAAGGAAAGAAATCATACTTTTGGTTCTTAATTTCTAGGCTAGGTGGCACAATTTACCGCCCGTTATAAAGGGTAGAGCCGTTAGCATCCATTCATCCATCCATCCTTGGGCATGAAGCGTTTGATTGGATCCGAGTTCACACTGACCGCTGATGCGGTTCTCGTGTTGAATACATTCTCAGGGGATATGATCAAACTACAGCCGACTCAGATAATTGGCGCTACAGCTACTAGTTTATACTTTTTGAAAAGGGTCTATTTCCAGATTCAACATTCATGCGGCGAGGCGACATATACGTCCCGTTCATCAGGAACGGGGTGGTTGAAACGTGAACTGACGCATATTCAACCTGCCGCCACGTCATTGGTTCTGGAGCGGATAACAAGAAGACCAGAGATTGGCATCCCGGCACGAACTGTGTAGACGCGTGTACTTTCGGATATTTTCGGAAGAGATCGGCTAACGTCATTAGTCAACTGAGTTTCAACTTCCTGGACTTGTGATGCCGCCACGTGACTCGATTGGCATGTCCTTTCAGCAGAATATCTTGCTTAAACTATTTGAAGAGAGCGTGCGTAGAGAGGTCAAGTCAAGCCAACACCATCTTCTAGAATAATGGCGGCCTTCGAACGCCCCACTCTTCCTCCATGTGACTTCATCACAGTCGGATGGCGCCAACTCGGCAATTAGACCCAAGCCCAATGCCGAGCGTCCTTCGACGTGTTAATTGGACACGAGGCCCAGCCGAGCACTGACGCAGCACTCGTAGCCAATCCGTGTCTTCGATAGATCTCGCTTTGATGACGTCGAAATTCTAGTGCACAGGCTTTGATTATTCCAGGTGGTGTTAGTTAAAGCTGGAGCGGTTCCAGTTGCACATGGCACGTCATGAATGCCGCGGCAGCCCTGCAGGCACTTCGGCTGTCATCCCAAAAATCCGGAAAGGAATGACGGTCGAAACCCGAAGAGCGATCTGTGTGTACCGGTCCAGACGTCGAGCGTCGGTCAGAATGCCAGACACGCCAACCTCGGCTAGTCACTGTTGCTGCCTGCGCACTCGGGGCGCCACTCGCGCGTTTGGTTTCCTATAACGGAAAAAGGTGTACGTATTCATGGAATCCGAGACCTCGTACACTCGCCGCAAACAATTCCGCATCTGCCGTCCCGGTCCATCCGATGAAGCGGATGACAGACTTTTACGCTACTCATTCCAAGTACTAATCAAATTACTTGCAATCGATTATTTTTGAAGTAATTTTGTAATTATTTGATTATCAGGAAGTAATCGCAACACTGATCTGATTACTTTTAGAAGTTACTCGTAACTGTTACTGTTTTCCCCCTCCCGTTTGTTATGGTGACCTTTGTCTTACAAGTTTCTTACCACGGAATCATCGAACCAAATCTTCGACATTAGTATAATTTAGCAAAATTGGTGGATTAAGAAGGTATGTATAGTTCATAATTCGGTGATTCTAATTCATTAATGAATAATACAAAATACCCGTTATCGAACCGGCAGAAAAATCTGTTACTTTGAAAATCTGAAGTAATCAGAGAAGTAACGGTTACTTTTTCAAGTAAGGGCCAATTACTTTTTATCTCGTGTAATCGAGTGATCTAATTAAGTACCTTTTAAGCAAAAGTAATTGTAATTTTAATCGATTAGTTTATCGAGTAGAGTGTACAAGACTGCCTGACGGTGACCTCTCTCTTTTTTTCTTTTTTGGCTTGCGGCGGATTTTTTCTTCATTCTTTTTATGTGGGTCATCTCAGACGATCGCAACGACCGTAAATTTGTGTTCAGTTCAGTGCAGTTTATTATTCCTCGGAGGCACTTCACCTGAAGTAGATTACATGAGGAGGAGGGGGGTTTGATCTAGTAAACAAGATTTAACTGTGAGAGTTGCTTAATAACTGTTTGCTTAGGAGCAAGATACACATCATACAGATAATAAAAATGCAATGAACCGATAAATAGTAAATTTATACCATAAAACGTCTTGATTAATGAAAGACATGCTTCAGGTGCTCCTTGTAAAGATCATTGAACCTATCCTGGTTAGCTCTGAGTACAATCGTTTCAGGGAGAGAATGCATATTTTTAATGGCTAGAAAAAGCAGCTGTATTCCGAAATTACGTGGTTCTCGCGAATAGAGGATTTACTTCTAAGTTCTAGTCACGACGCAAGGAGCTAGGTGCATGATGGCGGTTGACAGTTATGGCACCGAAAAGAAGAGGAATGCAAGATTTTGTGGAAAATGAGAATACGAGCAAGTTTAGTTCTTTCAGTCAATGGAGAAATATCTAGGATTTATTTTAATGTAGTTATGCTTGGACGTCCGGAAGTAGTCATGAGAAATGAATCGAGAGACGTTGTTTTGAACATCTTCCAAGTTTGTTCATAAGATATGCCTGATGAGACCACCACATGAAGTTAACGTAGTCCAACTTAGATTATAAGCCGTTAGTTTAACAGATTGTGTGTAAGGTTTAGGTTGCGTTAAATATACGCTAAAGGTTTACAAGCGCTAACCACTATGGTGTTAATATGAGCATGCCATTTTAGGTTTTCAGAAAATCTCACACCTATAGGGGCTATTCACTGGACGTCATATTTGAGGGCGATGTTGAGAGCGCATGCTCAGAACTAGCTCACATTAATAGCCTGCTAAGACGGCAATCTTGATGGTGCGGAATGCACGTTGCAAAGGAACTGCGGAACCTCGCAGTCAGCGCGCGCTCAGCAGTCGCACACACAGATATGGCCGACAGTGAATACTCCCTGTTGGCGACGTGCGCGATTGAAAGCGTCTCTATGTCGGCCTTCCACGATTGGCCGAATGCTGACTATGACGTCAGCAAAGGATTTCTCTTCGACGGAAATAAAAGGAATGTAAGAACTTCAATTTTAACCATGTTGGCAGTGTTGGTTTCAGAGCGCAATGATTTCAAGCTTCCACCATGCTCATTAGACACACCATCGAATTTGTTCTTCGCAAGATAATGACGTCACGAGAGCTAACCATACAAGGGTGCCACCAAAACATCTCGCCGCTAACAGTCGGTTGCAGGTTAAGATTCCAGGGGAAACCTTTCCCCTTGAGCAGAGCGAACACTGGAGAGGTTGTGCACCGACTACAGATATTTATACCTCGACGTTTTCTTGATAGGCAGTGTTATGGTCACTGACAGAGTTGGAGCGGCAGGGTGTGTCTTTCGAACACCCGGCCTCCAGCACGCGCTCCATGCCTTCCGTTTTGCTTTGGCTGCGCGCGCGCGCTCGAGGTTCACGAAACGTCAAAGCGCTGTCGAAGGTAGGACGTCAGCGCTGGAGGTCGGACAACTGAAGCTCGCCCATGCCGTCTTCATCATATCAGTAAGATGTCGTTCTATATTTCGGGATTTTTTTTAACCAGTGAATGGTACTGTGAGTAGTTTGTTCTTGGTTGCATTCACCTTCCCATGCCATGTTACACCATAGTGATAGCGTGTTTAACTTGCCGTGGTAACAATGAATCTTTAGGGTAAGTATAGAACGGCAAGTGCGCATTTGTCCGCAAAGAGCCTAAATGGAGATGTTAGATGGAGAAGAAGGTCATTAATATCATCTGCCATTACTGGCGGATGAGCCTCAACGTGGTAAAACGCAAATACTAGCATTCACACGTAGTACCACCTCCCCGAGTTTCCCTCAACTAAGCAGCATTAGTACTGGTCACTGCACATCATATAAATATTTAGGACTTCACATCACCAGCAGACTCACATGGAATGGTTACATTAAAGAAATTGTTTTAAAGACTCCTCGCACACTTGGGTATCTAAGTCCTAACCTCAAATTCGCTTCACCAGATATTAAGACGTTATACTTCACGATTTAGTCTGGTAACATCATAAATTAAATTGGCGTCGCCGATATGCTCACCGTTTTAAAGTTATCTAACTAATTAAGTTGACAGCATTCAGAACAGAGCATTGAGCTACATTTCTTTCGGACTATTCTTCGTATGCAAGCGTCACATCACTTCGCAATCATCCAGGCCTCGAGACTCTTTCCTTACGGCGTAAGCTTTCCCGGCTACTCCTTCTTCATAAGATCTATTATCACAATCCGCAGATCCAAACAACCATTCTCGACACCCCCGGTCGCGTTTCCGCCAGAATTGGCAATGTTTGTAACACCAAATTCATTCATGCTTCACTTTCTTTCGTCGCATATTGCGTTACCACTTGCAATTGCGGAATGGAATCTCTTTCCAAATAACGTTGCTACAAGAACGTACAGCGCTAAATTTCAAGAAAAAATCACTATCTTTATTAATCATAGTGATGAAACTTAAACTTATAATGAGAATTGTAATTTTATTATTGTCTTAATTGTATGCCTCTGTGTGCTATGCTCATATTGTTTTTTGTTATGTATTACACAGAATTTTGAAATTGTATTTAAACCCTTCATTGTGTAATACCCGGAAACTGGTCCTCAAGCATATAAATAAATAAATATAAATAAGCAATAAAAGTGGACCCAGAACGCTACCCTGGAGGCTGGGGAACAGCTTACATAAGGGGGAAGGGTGGGTGATTTGTCTTTAGTCCTGACGAAGATGAACAGCTTATTTACGGTTAGTTAAAAATTCAGCTATCTTGTTCATAATAGAAAGATGAATGTTTAGTTTATGACGTTTTTACAGAAGTTAATGGTGATGAGCCATGCCTAATGATTTTTAGAAATCAATGAAAACAGCGTTCGTGTAGGTTTAACGAGTAAAAGTTGTTATACAGATCAGTAACGAATTAACGACGCTGGGTCTCACACGAACATTTTTTCCTGGAACCATGTTGATGGTTGTATACTAAATGATTTTTTTTCACAAAACGTTCATACTGTGAGAGTAGAAAAAATGTTCCATAATTTTGCAAGGTATGCAAGTTAATTATATTGTACACACATGGGTTAGTAAGTAATGCATCTCAAATAAAAACAGCGCGAAAAAGAAGAAGAAAAAAAGGACGAGTAAAAAAGTGGACAGGTCAGCGCTTGGTCTGTTCAGTTTCTTTATTTCGTGCCTCGTTTTTTTTTTTTTTTTTTTTTTTTTGCGTTGTTTTTTATTTAATAGTATGAATTTATAATTTGAATCGTTCTTTTTTTTTTTTTTTTTGCGGACTTCAACATAGGCAAAATTCTACCGAGTCTCCTGTCCGCGGGATGGGTTGTTAAGTCAAGTGATTGTTGTAATAGGACTGAATAGATCGCAGCATATGCATTTTGTTCATGTGAAATTTTTAGGACAAACATTGTTATCTCCAGTAGCTTTGTTTAGATTTCCTAAATACTTACGTAACAGAAGTTTTGAAATAGTTACGTAAATCAGTTTTTAAATAGTTACAAAGTAGAAGTTCCTAAATAGTTACGTAAATCAGTTCTTAATAGTTATGTAATTCGGTTCCTAAATAGTAACGTAAGTCAGTTTTCTTAAATAGTTACGTATCAGAAGCTCTTATATAGTAACTTAAATTACTTCTTAAGTAGTTTCGTAAAGCCGTTCTTAAATAGTTCCATAAATCAGTTCTTAAATAGTTCTGTAAATCAGTTCCTAAATAGTTAAGTAAATCAGTTCTTAAATAGTTACGTAGCAGAATGAAGCGAATTGAATTGTTTTAGAGCGCAGCTCTTCGGCGCCCGTTTCCGGCTTGAGCGGCGTCGCCGTCGGCGTAACCGCGCGTTGCATGCAGCTCAGGTTGCATGCAACCCGCGTTGCACGCAACCCGCCGGTGCCAGTATGAACACGTGTTGCATGCAACCCAGGATGCATTTAGTCCAAGCTGCATGCAACCCACGTTGCATGCAACCCGCCGGTGTCGCCGTGTTTCATGCAATCCGGCGTCGCCCCCGTTTGTGTTTGCCTCGTGGAGAGTCGTAAATTGTGTACACTTGAGAAACAAGTATTTGACGGAGGAAACAAACCTCGCCTACTTTGAACTTTACGTATGGCGACAGATCCGACAAGTATCCAACTTAGTTATTGCTTGGCATCGTGCTGAACAAAACAATATGACTTTATTGGGACGCGAAAGTACGGTTTTACAAATAGCACCTCGTTCACTGTTAATTATACAACGGTGTTAGAGTGTACTAAATTCGGGGAGCGTTACGACCGCCACCAACTTGCCGAGGCGCTTGGTGGGGAAGCAAAATATGCAAGACATTAAGCAATGCAAGCGTGACGTTTCGCATTGCTTAATGTCACAACTCAGACTGCGTTTTTTGGTCTAAACATAAGTTTCGGCATCGTCATTTGCTGAGCTGCCTCCGTAAGTTACACTGATTGACTCTCCGAGTGTTGTGCGGGAAAGTAGACGCACGGGCTTTTTTTAGAGTGGACTCTTTCCCTTCTGACAGTCTATTCAGTGTAGGCGCGTTCCTGTACGTTTAAAGGGATGCTGAAGCGAAGCAAAGTAAGGCCGCAGAAGCTTTGAACGGGACGCTACGAAGAACACAACTCATACATGGATATCGCAAATGAATGGCTATATTCTTGGAAAAGAAGGGCGCGATCAAGCGATGACTATAACCTTCACGATCCTCCTGGATCATTTGGGAATGGGGAAAAACGGCCTCGCTTCTCTCCTCCTGCTTCGGTTCACGAGCTCCAAGGGACGAAGCGAAGAGGAGAGGGAATGAGAATTGTGACGTCACATGTTTCGCCAGCCTCGCCGGTAGTGTTCAATCGCACGCTTCTTTTCCAAGAAATACGGCCATCCGTTAGAAACACGAACAGCCTTTTCAGTTTCGGCGTCTTTCTTCGCAAGGTTGCCGGTATGCTGATCTACTACATGGTGACTGGGAACCACCTGTTTGGCAAGAATGACCTCGAATGCCAGACGAACATTCTGCGCGGCCGACCCATCTTGAATCCCGTCAACGCGGAGCTTGACGATCTCGTGCACCACCTGGTCACTCTGGAGCCCGAGTATCGATTATCCGCCAGCGAAGCTATCAGGTAAACGCACTTCTATGTGACGTCATCACAGTCGAATGACGCCAACTCAGCGATTGAACCCGAGCCCCATGCCGAGCGTCCTTCGATGCGTTGATTGGACACGAGGCAGAGCCGAGCACTTACGTAACACTCGTATCCAATCTGCGCCTTCGCTCGATCTCACTGTGATGATTTCAAAATTCGAGTGTCTCTCAGGCTTCGATTATTCGAGGTGGTGTTGGTGCAATACGCATGGATGCCCTTGTTTTTCGAGTCCACCCACAAACAAATATCCCAAGACCATTTTTTTTATGACGAAGACAATTTAAGGGGGAAAGCAGCGTAACTCGAATCCGTCCTGTTGCGGGAAGCGTTTTCGGAAAATCTTGTGGAGCAAGTCAACACAATTTCAACACTCCGATTAGCTTGTTTTCATAAATGTCACATCACCTGCTTTAGGAGGGGGGGGGGGGGGGGGGGGTTGTTGCAGTTATTCACGCGCTTGTCTTCAACCAGCTCCCAGATTTGCTCACCCGATAAGGGTGAGCAATAATTCTGGGAGCCGGCTAAGGGCTAGGGCGTAAATCACTGAGGCGTGTCTAAGCCACACTCCTTCCCATCTTCTCCCTCATTCCGTAAACCAGTTGATGGGACGTTCACGAAAACACGCCAATCAGAGTGCCGAATTCGGACTGCTGACGTTTTTCGCAAGCTTTTCGGAATACGCGTGGCGGAAAGAATGGAATCGTCAACGGCTCTTAAGAGCCGCGATTCGCTGATCGCGCGAATGGGTGTGAAACAACATTGGTGATCGCGGTATACCTCGTTTGATGTAAAGATATCTATCAAGCAGCGTCAAAAGCGCAAGTGATTAGGCCTTTTCAGTTCATGATTGGTTCAGCGATGATATATATAGAACACGTACAGAAACCGAAACATTACGAACACCATGATGGTAAGCTTTTGACGTTGTCTGATTGGTCCCATCAGCTCGTAGCGCCGGCTGCGTCTGGACTTTGGGTGAAACTAAGTATTGGCCTCGAGATCTACCTTGAGGTGGAGCTAGTGCCACTAAATAAGCTACGCTTCAGAGTAACGACACTTGGCCATATTGTGTCTTAAAATCATGGTCGCCAGTTATCTGAAGCTTTATCTGAAATCACAGGAAACGCGTTTCCGCCCTCCACAAATGTTTAAACAGTTCGTGACAGAGCAAAGCAATATTAAATTATCTTCCTAACACCGAGTCTAATGCTGAAGAAGTTGCACTTTTGAATCATGACGATGGGCAGTTGCGTCTGCTCTGCATACCAGCCAAAATGGCGGCGCACACAACAATGTCGAGGAACGGCGTGCCGATAGTATACAGTGTACTAGAATACTTGGGTAGTGTTGGGGACCGGAGGGGCTCGCCTGAAGCGCGTGGTATTGATCGCGACAGGTGTCGACACCGGCGCGTTATCCAGATGGTGTGCGCATGCGCGGCTGCACGCGCGAAAGTATGAATCTTTGGTGCCGCTTTGGTGGGGTGCACATAGGATTTCTGATACAGCTACGACCTGCCAGCGGTCGTACCGCGGCATCAATTACGCTGCGGCACGATCGTTAGCAACACGATGCTTCAATGTATTGGGCAGTAAAAACTACATTACCCTTCCTTTTCATAAAAACAATTGCGACTTTAAAGAAGCGGATGGCAAGTTGTTTCAGCGTAGAATTAGCTGCGACTTTCGGTTTGTCGGATGGTGAGCATTTTAAATGAAATGCCCATTTTCTTGGTCGCAAAGGCCGAACACTAGATATTTGCAAGGAATATCTAAAACTCGGAAGCAGTTTTTTTTTTTTTTAATCTTATTTTATAATAAAACGAAACGGCACACACTAAAGTCCGAGATTGTTTTCGTATGTTTTTAATACCCCAGGTTAACTTCTTTTCTGTCCGTCTTTTTTTTTTTTTTATCTTAATCAGCTCGCTTCACTTGTCACTCATTCTTCTGTTCATTTATGCGACGAACCACCCAAGCGACGGTCGCAAAATGGTGAGAATCTTTTATTTCTTAATGGCTGCCACGACCATCCGAGGACCACCCGACGTTCACTTCTAAGAAATGGCTTATAGGCCGTGACAATTTTTATCGTGCGTTTTAACATTGAACTTAAGTCCAAAAACTAAGACAGCGTGGGCTGAACAACTTATGCTTTATAAGATTCAAAGAAAACAAGCAACTATTTCACATCATTTTGAGCAGAAAACATGAGCACACGTAGATCAGGCAAGAAAAAGTTGTAATAGTTTACAGCACGGCATTGAAGTAATGGTTACAATGTGCAGCGCATGCATGGTTACAATACGCAGCGCATTATCCTCTTGAGGGTAAACCATCTGAAACCTACACGCTCATAACAATACATTTAACCGACAGCTGCTTTCTGACAACCAGATAAGTCTCGCCTGAGCTGGGTATCCGAAGGGAAAGACCCAAGGTTCCACAGGGGGCGTATCTGGTTCACGCAAACATACAGGGTGTTTTTGTTTTATTGTTTACAGAACTTTACATATTTTACAAAAAAAGAATGTGGCAGATATGTGGATGCCGTCTTTCGTTATATCTGTAGGGCTCGGTGGACAATAAATGGGTGAATAACCGTTTTGGGTGAATAACCGTTTAATGGGTGAATAACCGTTTAATAATTAACCCAAATCTGTTAGTTAACTTGTTTATTAACGGCTCAATTCGCTATGGTGCAATTGCAGTTTTAAAAAGAATAATTATTAAAGGAAAACACAATTTCGACAATTCGCGACAAAGCAACGAGGTTCGCGAAATTTATCGTAAAAGTTAACCTTTCTTCGCATGATTCAGAAACCGCGTTATGAAAATAATACGTAGAATAGTGATTTAGTCGTCTTGATGTGTGGCGCCGGCGAGTCCGCCGAAGACACGCTGTCGAGTTAGTGACGAGGGGACAGAAACAACTATGTCATTCTTCTACGCATGAATATCAGCACAACCTCATTCGCGCTTTCAGCGCGCGGTTTTTTAATTAAGCGAAGAAAGGCAAAATTTTAGCGATGAATATCTCAGGACAGAACGAGCGGGTTGGTAGAGATAATAGACAGTTTTAGTGGATCGTACGCTAAAGCCTTGCGTACGCAATAAAATTGCGGGTCGGGAGTGCGCGTGCGCAGAACGCAATAGAAGAGCTAGCGTATTGCGTACGCACGCAACGCTGGGGATTTTGCGTGGCGGGCTAGCGGGCTCTGCGGGACGTTCTCGAGAGATCTCGGACCCAACGAGAGCGCCAGTTTCAAGATGGCGGTTACCTCGACTGGCGCAGCAAAGGCGACGTGGTGTTTTCGAAGTTCTGTGTTACGTGAAATTGCGTGGTGTTCAGCTCGGCAATTCTTTCCGGGACCCACGGCGGTCGAATCAGATCGCCGTGCAGCTGAAGGAGTGCACAGTGAAAATGTTCGCCGCTTGGAATGTGCGTCAACGCTGCGATCTGCTCAACGCTAAGCCTATTCGCACAGTTCATCGCCGATGGACGAGCGACTCTAAAAGAAATCGCCGAAGTTCTCGCTATGTACTGGACATCAGTAGGTCATGAATTTTATTCCGCGATAGCATTGATAAAAGGTGCCGTTTCAAAGGGAAGATTGACGGAGGCTCCGTGATCGAATTTGGCTACGCACCCTTAAGCCTGGTTCAGACCCAGATCGAGTTTGGCCGCAACGCAGTCAGACTGCGTTTGACTGCGTTGCGGCAGCGAGAAACCAGGACATCCCTGCTACTTATAAAGATGATTCTTTGAATTAGATTGCACGCTTCACACGAAGCACAGATGTGCCGGTGACTCGCTTTCGGTTCTCGACGCAACGCAGTCAAACGCACTCAAACGCAAGTGTCAGAACCGGCCTTTACTCGTAGCCACTGTACCCCGCAGAAAAGCGCGCTTGACGAGGCAGCTGCAGCTTGGTTTAATTTGAAATAAAATGATTGGACACGTTTTCATTTTCAATATTTTTTTCCAGGAGCATGGTTGCGCTATAAGCACGTGGAATTCTGCAGCTCTAGCAAATCTAACCAAGATCATGCGCGGTGTTCACTCGAAAACGTAACGCACAACTAAATTCGGTCCGAGCAGGTCATTTTTAGCGTACGCTATACTATTGTGTATTGCGTACGTAAGAGCCAGCAACGCTATACTAAAACTGTCTAATGAAACTTGAGGAAGAAAACGAGAAGGGAGGGACAAACACAACAAAAACGAGCGCCGTGTTGCTTTCACTCAAAGCTCGTTGTTCTGTTCGCGAACTTTCTAAATTGGGTTTCCCCTTTAATAATGGCTCCCATTAAAGCTGCAATTGCAACATGGCCCATTGAACCGTTCATTAACCCTTTGCCTACCGCATTAAAAAAAAAGATTTGAGAATACCGATTTTTTTTTATGTGCCCTATACTCTGTTTCACCTTGTGTTGTACCCAGTTGTACCGCAGGAAAGGCTACAAGCGCGAGCTCCTTGCTCTATGGCACATCTCGGCGGCACAAGCTCTCGTGCACCAAGGGCAGGTGCCAACGCTATGAGCTCGCGCTTTTAGCCTTCGCTGCGGTACAACATAAGGTGAAACGGAGACACGTGCACCGCTCAAAGTAAAAAAAAAAAAAAAAAACGGGCTGCGCGATTTTTTCCGGATAACTCGACTACAGCACCGCCACGAACTGTCAATACACGCGCCCTCACGAGCTCTCGTTGCCGAGCCGGTTCGGTCCCCAACACTACCCAAGTATTCTAGTACACTGTACCGATACTCTAAGCGCAGCTCATTTAGTGGCTCTAGTTGGAGCTACTGTCGCGCTATCATCATCATCAAAGAAGGGATAGAAGCAGGGCCGCCCCATATATGTTCTCCACGTTCGCGCGCGAGACGGTGCACATGTAGATTCTTGCGTTTGTTTTGTCACATAGTATCAATGGGAAAACCATTTTAGCGAAAATAGGGGCCGTACTGTTCGGCGCTTCAGTAAAGATCGAATCGTCTTACCAGCGTACGGTCTAAATTTAAAAAAAAAAAAAAAAAAAAAACGCTCAAGTGGATGCGTCGTCTGCTCTAGGCAGACGTTGGGAAGCATGGATTACCACGACGGATGCCTGTCTCCGGGGGAGCTGCGATATTTATGTTAAATATTTTTTTTTAAGAGATGTATCGGTTCACTACCGTGGCAATTCAACGAAACATTGAATTCCAACCCGGATAACATAATACAGGTACTGTGGGCTATGAAATCGCAGGTTCTATGGCCTTTTTTTTTAATTTTAGCTTATGCAGTAATATAAATATTTAGAATAAAGAGAAGTTAGTGCTGTGTTGGAAATTACCGTGCTATTGAGTTCCGCTGTCGCCAATGTTTTCCTTTACCGTGGTGCGGGTAAGTTCTTCGGAGTCTGAACAATTCGACTACGTTGCGATGAAGAGAGAGTGTCTCGTCTTGTTGCGATCCTGAAACTGTTCGTTGGCAGGACAATTGAAACAAGTGAAACGAATTATTCTAATATGTCTGCCACCTGTGGAACAAGCGAGTGTAACCGAGCAACGCAGTCGCGTGCGTGTTATACGATGCATTTCTCGGTAGTGTGGGTTCACCCACTTCAATTTTCTCGGTAAGGGCCGCGGACGTCAAAAGGCTAATATTATAAATTGTTCGCTTAATATAATCTTCTATTTAAACATGGTAGACTCTGCAACTTCAACAAACGACCCGCACTACGACATGGACAATATCGGCCGCAGTGACACTAGTCTTTTACTGATGAAGGCTAGCGACTCTCACGAGACTTTCCGATCACCCTCTGCCCTCACCTAACGCATATCGGGACTGGGCAGTTCATCGATTATCTTTCAGATTACATTCAAGTGATGCTTTAAGTGCGATATATATTTTTGCTGTTTAATCGGAATCTTGTGCTAAAGAAAGTCAGGAAAAAGTTAAAAAAAAAAAATAGACGCTTTAATATTTCTGACGTATTTCTTTCTTTTAGGACACATGCAAACCACTTCAGCATGCTTGCTATTGTCAGCGAGGGTGATTATACTGTTTAAATAATAACTTTAAAAGGACTTCACTTTAGATAAAAGTCTTCCCGTGTTCATATTTCTGTAGACGTCACAACGTGAAGTTTAAAATAGGAATGCATTATGCCAAAAAAATGTTAGTTTTAATCTCTTTCATGCAATATGAATGGTGAAAAATCAGCTAACAAATATATTGCCGCGCGCGCAGCTAGCCAAGTAGGCAGCGCGGCCGTGGCCTAACGGTTATCGTGCCTCCTTCCCACGTGAAGTGCCAGGGTTCGATTCCTAGTAGCGACGCGTCTTTTGTTTATCCTTGCAATTTAGTGTTCCAGTAAAGTCCAGAATCCTCTTGCTTGTTCGAGGTGCGAATGTTCTCGTTGCCGAACCTTTTAGGCCGATTGTTCCAGAATCCAAAGTGTGTACAGTAGGCACGGAATGAAACGCGAACAAGGAGCGCATGGTTTTCGACCCACGCTGAGTCACCTAGAGACGCAACATCGAAGGTTTGGACGCACTGAGCAAGAGTCTAACACATCGAAGGAGGAGTCATCTTTTTGCAGCTCCCATCTGGTTCAGGAGGTGCAGCATCTAGCGAAAACCATGCACCCACTGTTCGTGTTTCATTCCGTGCCGACTGTACATAAGGGGCTCCGCGTGGCGATCCTCAGTCAGTTTCGCCCCAGCGTTCGACTCTGCTGTCACGCCGACTTCAACGTCCGCGACGCTCTGCTTTCTTCTGTTCCAGTTTTTTTTAGTTTTTGGGCACAAGTTCGGCCCCATTAAACGTACAGTTTCTTCAGTTATTATCGCCTCATCAATTGTAATTCGTGACAATATCAATTGATTAGTCTATTAAAGAGCACCGATCCCTCAGATTATTTTTTTTAGAGCGCAGCTCTTAGGCGCCTGTTCCCGGCTTGAGCGGCGTCGGAGTAACCGTGAGGTCACGTGACTTCCCCCCCCCCCCCCTGAGGTCGCGTGACCTCAGGGGGGTCGCGTGACCTCACGGAGGCCACGTGGCCCCCGTGGCGGAGTACTAGGCAGGATGACGTGGTGAGGAGAAGGGAGGAGGGGTATACCCTTCCCTTAGTACCCTTCCATCCTCCCCCTCAAGAGCTGCGCTCTAATTGGGCGTTACAGGGAGTTGTAAACGGCTTTCATTTTTTAATCAAACCATACCTCAATCAACATTCAAAGTTTTAAAAAAGTTATGGTTTGTGAGAGAAACGAAAAATGTGTGGGACCAGCGGTTGTATACAAACCACAACACTACGATTATGGAAGCTTCCGACTTAACAAAAATCGCTTTGCAGAATTTTTACGCACGTGAAACGATACAACACAACCTTTAGTAGGAAGAAACGACAACAAAACCAACAAGCGTTAAATGAAAAGGGCTCAGCTCAGCCGGAAACGGGCTTGCGTCGTCAAGATCCCTGCTTCTCAACGTGCGCCCGTAGCAGAGGACGCACGGCGGTATCCCCGCTTTCGCATGTTTCCTATTTCGGCCGCACGCCGCACGGTGGCGACACGGTTCGCTCTCGAGGCTAATAGTCGTATGTCGCTAGCCGATTGCGCGACTGCTGCGAGTCGCAAGTGCGAATACGCCTTCACTGTTATTTGATTCAAAAGTTGAAGGCGATTTTCGGAAATTTTCGAAGAGAAAATGGAGCACGTTCGATGACATTCGTTTCCGCACATTCGTGGGCTTTGATGGCCGCGATTGTCTCAGTGAAAATTTCCGAAAATCACGCATAACTTTTGAATAAAATACCAGCAAATTCTAAACTTTGGCATTTGGCACCACCATCTTTCGATAAATAGTAATGGTATATATATATATATATATATATATATATATATATATATATATATATATATATATATATATATATATATATATATATGTGCATTTGGGCGAAAAATAAGGGTTCGGCGGTACGCAGTTTTGTTGTGTTTTTTTTCGCGGTCACTTAAAGCACAGTTTTCATGATTTTCAAATGCCCTGAATATGTGAAGAGGTCGAAATGAGGGTTCCCTTTTTAATGCGAAAGCATTAACTGTTCCATGGAGCAAAGCCGGCGTTGTCTGTCCAGCGAAAACGGCACCTAAATCCCCATTGGCTGCGACGCGTCATACCAAATGCTTCGTCACGGAAGCCGGCCTGGCACTTGAGATCAAAGCGGACGCGCCCAAGGAATAAAACACAAAAAAAAAAAGCACAGCAACGCAGATGCATCGTCACGGAAGCCGTGGAGCCGGCGGGGTTCGCTGCGTCTGCGCAGTGGGGAAGTGTGGTGTCACCACCGGAGCGCCGTGTGAAAAAAGAAGATTTGGCGCGCTGCTTGTAGGAATGCGCTGCATGCAGGAATGCTTTCGCATTCCTACAGGTACGCAATCTTAACTGTCTCTGCCAAATTCTTTTGTCTGTTTGATATTGTAAGCTACAGCACACGCAGGAAGAATCAGTGCCTGCCTGGTTGGAGGGCGATCCTCTGCGAGGCTGTCGTTCAAGTTTCAACTGGTTCTCCTTAATCCTTGCAGGCACCCCGTATTCTGGGGACCTAAGAAGCGCATGTTTTTCTTGTCGACTGTCGCGCTCGAGATGGAGCGTCAACACCTGAAATGGTAACACCATTCACTTTCCCCCTTTTCGATTAAGGTCCTTCAAGATCAGTGCCGTTGTTTTAAATGTCTACACACGTTCAGATTCCAACACGGAGAGCGAGGAACGTCCATCATTGTAGGATGTGAGAGGGAGGGAGCCTGAACCATATGCATAACGCGGTCCCGATGAGCTTATCTTCAAACCTACGAGATGCACCATAGTCACTGACAGAGTGAGAACGGCAGGGAGTGTTTTTTGAACTCCCGGCCTCCCACACGCGCTCCATACCTTCCATCGTGTTTTGACCGACCGCGCGCGCTCGAGGGGCGCGGGACTCCGGGGCGTTGTCGAAAGTAGGAAGCTGGCGCTGGAGGCGGGACAACTGAGGCTCCTCCCTGCCCTTCTCACTCTGTCAGTGACTAAGTTAAAGTTTATTTGAGCATAAATACAGAAGTACAATATGTCCACGAGGTGCGGCAAAAGGGCACCAGTATATGTCTCCTGACGAGGCCATGATCACTTCGAAGTTACACGTCGAGCGGCAAAGCATAAAAAAAAAATTAATAAAGAATTACACGCAATACATTTTCGCATGCACCGAGCACAAGCACACAATGCATCTCTAGGGCACCAAATTGAGCATGTGCGCATCTGCAGCTGAGAAAAATCACGTTTAGGCCGTGGAACACTAGCGGTAATTCGGCAACGGACCATGGAATGAATTCTGGCAGGAATAAATGATTCTAGATTGGGTTTGTACTAATCGCATGGTCGTTTAGTGGGTTAAAACAGAACTAGTACACGAGGGTATAGAGAGAAAAAAGCCCGCTTTTCGGTAAGATATTTTTAAAATATAGTGGACTATTTCTTACCACCTTTCCTTTGAAAGCACTCCGCCTTTTCACTGTGATACATCCGCGGTGACCAAGCACGTCAGCCGAAGCCAGCTCACGTATTGGATGGACACGTCCACTGCGTCACTCGGACCTTATGTTCTCGTCAACAGTCGATCTGTCGACGAATATTGGATTCGCGTTCGTGACCAGTGAGTGCCGTGACGTCACTTATCATCATGGAGTTTAATAGTCGAGAAATCAGCTCTGACGTGCCTGTCGACTTCAGCGACACTGCCGTTACTTGCGAATTTCGTTTCTTTCTCGCTACCAGTATGCTGGGCTTATTAACTGTTCAAGTAGGGTAAGAATCGGCTGTCTGAATCAAAACTTGAACTATTGTCGGTAACACCTGTGCAATCTATTTAAACAAATTCACTTCAACATCCCTTCGGCGTTCTTGTGTCCAACGAGGAAAATAATGGCCATGATCCTGTATTCCCTGGCGTACGACACTTAAATATGCGGGGTTGTACGGATTATGTCTTACCTACATCGATTATAAAGGATTTTATTGACTCGTATTACGTTTTAGTTGTTTTTTTTTTTTTATTTAGATATCGTCAGCTATAGTCACATTCGTTCGCATCGTAAAATCAGACTTTGAAAACAAAATATTCTAGAGATGCAGCTCACCCTCGTGCGGCTGACTGAATCATTGTGCGTACTGTCAACTTTCCAGTGCAATCTTCTCCTTCTTTTCTTCAGGCCGCCCGATGACGTCTTGAGGCAGTTTGAGGTGTCTTGCAGTGCCTTCGTCACCTGGGTATTTGTCTCGCAAACTCTTGTGCACTTAGTGATTTCGGCGTTGCAACATAGAAAGTTAAAAAAAAAAAACACTTATGTGCACCACGACCTGCAAAGCCGTTTTTCAGCTTTTAGCTGGTTGCGCGCACAATCAATTTTTGAGAACCTTTCTGCCGCTTCTTGTTAATACTAAGTGATTTAGGGGGCTTTTTTTTTTAATCTATATTTACGTTTCGTCGCTGTTGAGACGTAAACAAAAGTGGACCCGGAACGGTGACGGAGCATATCACCTTGTCCAGTTTAGGCGAGTAAGTAACTCTATTACCAAATGCCAGTCATAGATAGCAATAAACAATACTGGCCTCTACTGTCCTGCTTCTCTAGGAGAGTATATGTTTTGCATTTCATGGACACGTTGAATGATAAAAAGACTAGCATTAGTAAATGTGACGCGTTTTTTTTATCAGACTAAAATTTGTTTTGTTTTATTTATATTTTTTTTTTGTTTCTTTATTTATTTAAAAATAGGTGTCTTTGTTTGTTTATTGACTCTAAATACTATACGGAGTAGGGGTTCTACCGTTGGCGATTTATTTGTTAGAAGTATGACATTTCCATGTTTCAATGAAACGGAATACCCATTGACACATTTGGATTGCAATTGGATCCACTACACACGTGTCAGTTGTTTCACGTTTTGCGTAGCCCGTTATGCGCCCTTGGCGGTCATAGGCATGGTGGTAGATTAAACCAATTGAGGATCAGAAATGTGATTCTGATAACCAGCTTTCGATTAATTTTACAAATGTCAAAAGAGACTAAACAGAACACTAAAGATATCTCAAACTTATACTACGCTCAAATATTGAGAACGAGGACGAGCTTGTACATGGTCTAACATACTGACTAAAGCATTGATTTTGCATTTGTATCATCTTCGTGACACAGCCTCGGGCTCAATATTGTTTGTATCTAATCAGTTTATTTACATACTTAGAAACGTCTAACAGCACTTTCTACTGAGATTTCGGTCGACACCGCCGATATATGCTCGTAAAGTTGCGACGGCGTTCGGAGCGTCGATTTGTCTCGTATGTTTTGTATTATTTTATTCGCATGTACCTCCTATTTTGTGTATTTTTTCTCGTTTCTATCGCTACTCCCGAGTTGGCCACAATGAGAAACTCAACTCTTCATTTATGCGCGGGCCTTTTCCTTCTATAGTGGTCTTCGCCACTTCGATGTATTCCGATGCCAGAGCGAGCACTGCGTGATATTCCATTTCACCGTTGAGTAAATACCCCTTTCTTATGCGCAGAAGAATCGCTTGCCGCCGTGTGTGGTGACAGACAAGTTCGCCACCGAGGACTCGAGCACGGCCATCGTGAGCCTCCTGCGCTTCATCAAATGCTGCGCATTGCACTACGACAGCTTGTGAGTTTGATTTGCAGTGGTTTGACTTTTAATACGAAAGCATTAACTGTCCCATGAAGCGAAGCCGGCGTTGGCCGTAACTGTCTGTACAGCGAAACGGCAGTTAAATTCCTATTGGCCAAAAGCACAGCAACGCAATGCTTCTTCACGGAAGCCGTCGTGAAGCCGGCGGGGTATCATGGAAAATTTCCGGACATTTTGAAGGCCGGAAAAAAACTACAAAAAAAAAGTTTTCTTCCGGAAATTCAGGAAACATTCGAAAAATTCTATCAACTGCTATAATTCTGTAATGATTCGAAATATATTCACAGAGGTCAAAAACCACAAGATATTTCCGCCAATCTTACGGTGGATTATTATATTATATGAACTTTTTTTTAGCATTTACACAACTTTTTTTTTTTTTTTTTTAATTTAGCTGAGCTTCGACTACTCATATGGTAGCAACCGATAGCACCTACGCAGTTATTCGTTCCCGCCGTTAGTGCCGTGCGCACTCTCGACGGGCAGCCGGAGGAGCCATATCACTTTAGCTTTCCCAGCCCCTGAGTGAAAGTCGTGAGCCTCGTACTCGGGTGTAGACGCTTGCCGTGGACCGTGGATCTGTCAAAACTGTGTGATGTGCGCCTTGGAGAGGCCATCCAGGGCAGCTATATTGCTTTAGCTTCCCCAGCGCCGTTTCCGAAACCTCGCGTGCATCGTTCTCGATCGGGTATAAACTTTCGCCGTGGATCCGTCAAAACTGTGCGCTGTGCGCCATGGTGAGCCGCGCTCCAACGTTTGGGGGAACTTTGACGAGCTAAACAGTGATAAGGGGCCAGTGGTCTGAAGGTTTTGCTGTGCCAAATACGAATTTCCCAACGCAACCCGCTTGCGGCAGCGCATCGCATTTTGTCCGAAGCGCCCGCCGAACATCAGGTCTGCAGCATCGGACGACCCGACAAGATCAGAGTCTGGGACATGTCGGTCCAGGAGCCCATTTATGGAAGTTTTACGATCAGAGCGCGCACCTGTGGAAAATGAAAGCCCCAAGCTCCTCAAAATAAGGCCGACAGGTATGCCAAGCAGCGAACATCTATAGAAGCGTTCGTTGATAGAATGACGCAAGAGCGTCAAAGCAAGCTTGACGAGGCGCTATTCGAGCGATATATGCTAGTGGAACGCTTTTATCAGTTACGGAAAGCAGATACTGGCGAGAAACGCTCAAGCTCCTCAGGCCCGCGTTCGTGCCCCCTTCCAGGCATTTTTTAGCTGGACGGCTCCTGGAGGCCGAGTGTGCCCGAGTGATGACGCAGGTGGGAGAAGAAGTCCACGCCGCTTTTTTGCGTCACTGTACTCACAGACAGCTAACCGAATGTACGGGGCGAGAGCATCTTGAACTTTGTGGTGGCTACACCAAAGCCTATTTTCTACAGCGCCGTGGAGACGGAAGATCACAGGCTCACAGAAAACTACAACGCGGAGAGATTTTGAAGGTTGTGGAGAAAGGCTTTCGCTCTTGTTACCGACAATGCAAGCAACATGAAGACCGCGTGGACAATAGTCAGTATGCGTTATCGAAGCGTCACTATTCTTGGATGCTGTGCTCATGGACTAAAACTTGTTGCTGCCGGACATGCTCAAACTGGTGACATTGCAAGAAGTATGTAAAAGGTCCAAGGCTGTAATCAAGTATGTTAGAGTCACGTGGTTGCGGCTCACTTTGCTAAGAGGCAAAAAGACTGCTATGCTGGAAACCAGACCACATTAAAACTACCAGCTGAAACTCGCTGGGCGGGCACTTTGATGTCACTGGAAGGCATACTGGAGAACAAAGAAGCTTTACAGAAAACTGTGATCGCTGCATAGCTTCAAGTGAGCAGGGAAATAGGAAGAACAGTATTAGATGAAAACTACTTTCGGCGAGATGTGCCAAGCACCTTCCACGTGTTGCAGCCAGTTACCCGTGCTATTTCAGAGGTTGATTCAGACACTGCTGTTCTCTCAGACGTCTATGGGATCATGTTCAAAGAAACAAGACTAGTCGAAAGGCCCTTCCAAACTCTGCCTTGACACAGGGCGAAAAGAAAAAGTAGCAGAAATTCTGCGTGAACGACGCAACTTTATTTGCCGTCCAGTACATGCGGGCGCAAATTTGCTAGACCCGAAGCTCGAAGAGCGGTGTGCTTAAGTGAAAAAGAGGTATGCTACGCAATGGACTACATCACAGAGACGGCAGAGAGGTTATGTCTCGATGCTGGAAAAGTGCTGTCAAATCTTGCCGAAAATCGGGTCCTGTCAGGTGCTTGGTCGGAGAAGGCATTGAAGGACTCGGCGAAGCATATTCCACGGTCCACGTGGTGACAAGGGCTGTGTACCTCTGAGCCCCTGACACCAATTGCTTGTCGCCTTCTTCAGGTTACACCCTCCTCCGCTGCGTGCGAACGAAACTGGTCGAAGCTCAGCGGCGTCCACACCAAAAGTATTAACCGACTCAAGGGACACAGAGTGCGGAAGTTGGTGTTTGTTTGCTCCAATCTCGATCTGAGCAGCCCTGATCTGAAATGCGACGACGGAGATGACTCAACAGAGACTCAGAGTAGCGCTAACTAACAGACTGCTTTGGAATATCCGTCTTAAGTTACAGAAGATATCTTGTCAATGCGTGCATAGCTACCACGTCCAAGGTTGGTACTTAGTTTAGTTCTGCACTCTTTAGTGAAGAACTAGTTCTATCCTTAGAAGAGAAATGGGTCATGACAAACTAAATCAATGTTGTTAAACTTCACTGCCCCTTGAATGTGATAATTTAACGTTGCATTAATACATGGCACTACCTTCATGATAGTACATACAGCAATTCCTTTCTTTAATGTTTGGCATGCGACTATATTTCGTCAATCTGCTCTTATGTCACTTAAAGCTATGTTCATGCTGGTGCGGTAGTTGAGACTTGGCTGTAAGTTGAGAGTTTCATATATTAATTTATTGACCGAGAAACACGCCATAGATGACTTATAAACACGACTTCATCGCATGCGTACACACTACACCAACAAACCTCAGACAGCACTGTAATTTCTCCTCCGTCTAAAGCTTTCACCAAAGTCTTAAATATTTATAGCCATGCTGAACAACAAAAAGCAACGGTCATTCGGGATGGTTGGTGCATAGTTTTTAGAGAACGCAAACGGTGCAACGACGGAGCGAGGCGGCAGACAACCCGAGGTGCTCGTGTTTCCTCACTTGCCCCGTCGTCGCGTTGCTTTGTTTTCTTGGGGGCTGAAAGATGTATTATGGTTAGTATAGCGTGATTAAGTTTCCGCCTGCTCTGCCGACAAAACTCAATTCAGAGGTGCGTGATGACTATTTTCCCTTTCGATGGGGTCAGTGACATCAATTATAAAGTTCATTGCAGAAATGTGCTTAATAGGTTTGTTAATACTTGAGAAACTTGGGTTTCGTTTTTGCTTTTTTTTTTTTCTTTTTTTCGAATACTATGTCGGGGGGAAAAACCAGAAAAAGCAGGTTTTTCCCCAAAGAATTTCCGTTTTTTTCCCGAGCCCTCGCAACACCAGGCGGGGTTCGCCGCGCCTGCGCAGTGGGGGAGCGTGATTTCACCGCCGGAACGCCGTGTGAAAAAGGGAAGACGTGGCGCGCTGCTTGGAGGAATGCGCTGCGTGTAGAAATGCTCTCGCATTCCTACACGTAAGCAGTTTGAAGTGTTTTTTTTTTTTTTTTTTTTAAGAAGACAGGGGGCATACGACGTACTTCACTCGCTTTTGTCTTAAACCATTCGCCTACATACTCCGTTTCACTTGAGTCCGCTACCGCAGCCGACGCGATAATCTCATAGAGACAATGAGGGAGTGCCGCCCGAAAGTGCATCGTCATGGCGCTCGTCACCTTTGTGCGTTTTCTACAACGAGGCTTAGAGCGAAAAACTGTGTTGTACAATTTTGACCACTAGACACGAGACCGTACCAAATCCTGAGGCTTATACGCAAAACTGAGCCGAGATTTGTATTGCGATCGCTGTAAAAAAAACATTACAAACTATTTTTTTTTTCTTTTGCAATGCTGTTGGCCCTAGGGTGCCTACATGTCTCCGCTCCGCTTTAGAGTGGCGCCAACTTCTTGTTAGCCTTTCGCAGATCCTCTCCCACCGCCATTTTTTCCCACTTCTTATTTTGCTAAACGTAAACAACGTTGAGTTTCTGTAGTCTCGACACACCGGCAACACTGTGAGGCCACTTCCGTTTCCGTTCATGAGAGGAGTGCGAGGCTCAGCGGGATGGCGGTCGTCGTGGCTGTCGCTCTCTTTATTCGGGTGTTTCATATATTGAAGTTGCGAGCAGGAAGTGTGCGTTGCTTTTATCGAAACGCGAGTTCCCGCGACAAAATGGAACGCAACAGACCGGCATTGAACGCCGAAACCTCGCCGTCGGAACGAGATCGGTGAGCGCTCCCTAGCCCTAACGAGGATTAGCGGCGTAGTCCGAGCGCGCGACCGGCGAGTGTGACAAAATGGTCGACGAAAACAGCGGAGGTTGCCATGGTGACGAGGTAGGCAACACTGGTTTGTCGGCAACAGGTATCACAAACGTTGTCGCCACCCTAAACAACGGAGTGGCGGAAACATGTAGGCACCCTAGTTGGCCCAAGAGATCAGTGTCTAACTCCGATAAAAACTCAAAATACTGAACCGCGGCTTTGCGAAGCTGCACAAGTTTTTGTCGTAAAAGCACACTTTGGACTTAAAACGAACGGCACATAACTTATCTCGTCGGTACTTTTATTAAAGATCCATAAGCAATTATTCTGTGCACGGTACTTTGTTAAAATCTAGACGTAACACCATAAGGTCACGTGTGTAGTGGTCAAAAATGGCAACATGGGCGGCGGCCGCGAGGGGGGGGGGGGGGGGGGGGTCACTTTCAGCTGCCAGCTTATCGCTTTAAGTCCAAAAAAAAAAGCGCGCAGGATTGCGACGCATTTACTGTGCTTGATTGGTTGAGTCG